TCAACTGACCTCCACACCGGGGATGGTCTGTTTGCATCGTGTTTTAGGCAAAAAAAACTTTATAAAGTGGAACTTAAGATTTTCTTTTCTCTGCCCGCAGTGCAGATATTGTCTGTGTAAAATACAGCAGCTCATGCAGTAAAATCTACGTGTCTCCTATTGATTTCATGATGGAAATGATGTGATTTTTTAAAATGGGAATAAAATCAGATTTGACCCTGTGCTTAACTCCTAGTGAACCCTTTCTGCAATCGCCTTGTCTCTTCCTCCTTTTAGCGAAACAATCATTAGGTTTCTTGGAAACCAGCCTCCGCTATTGTACCAGCAACTGAGCCTGGTTCCTTGAGGAGTTATCTGATCACAGCCACTTGTGGCAGACAGACTTTTGTTTTTGCTGTTGACCCAGGAGTTTAGAGAATCATACACTGGGAGGTTTCCTGCCTTCTCTGTGGTGATGTGGGCTGACATTAGGCTTGGGATTCATGTGTCGTGTACTTTACTGTTGCATATCCTGATGATTCCCGCTTTGTCCAGTAAACATCCAGTTCAGTGAGGTACCAGAGCTTGTGGAACTGTGCACTCCCATTGCCTGCCTCCCTTCCTGTCTAGGTCAGTTTGCTGGAGGAATGGGGGAGAAGTGGAGCAGGGTGCAGCAATTGTCACCACAGCATCTATTGAACAAATGGAAGTATGAGTTTGGTGTGGCTGGTATGTTGAGAAAAATGTGCTGAATTCAACCTGTTTGGATTGAACTGAAATAAACTTTCCAAGTATGTCATAATTTTAATTTTTTACTCTTTTCATGGCATTCACTGGCAAGGCCAACATTCAGCTCATCCCTAACTAGCCTTGAACTGAGTAACTTCCTCTACTGTTCCAAAGGACAGTTAAGGGTCAACCACATTTTTGTTTCTCTATTCATTTGTGGGATTTAAGTGTCACTGGCTGGCCAGCATTTCTTGCCCATCCCTAATTGCCCTTGAGTAGGTGGTGATGAGCTGCCTTTTTGAATCGCTGCAGTCCACCTGCTGTGGGTTGGCCCACAATGCCCTTAAGGAGGGAATTCCAGGATTTTGACCCAGCGACACTGAAGGAACGGCAATATTTCCAAGTCAGGATGGTGAGCCTCTCAGAGGAGAACTTGGAGGTGGTGAAGTTCCCATATATCTGATGCCCTTCCACTTCTACATGGAAGTGGTTGTGGGTTTGGAAGGTGCTGTCAAACGCATGAGTCACATGTAGGCCAGACCCCACAAGGACAGCAGATTTCCTTTCCTATACAACATTATTGAACAAGGTGGCTTTTAGAAAAATCAATGGTCATTTTGTGGTCACCATTAATTACACTGGTTTATGTTCCAAAATTGCATGGAATTTAAATTTTGCCAGGTGCCTATGTGACTCCTTTTGACTTTGTCTCCCTGTAAAACTGCTGTGGTGAGAAATCTCTTGTAAAATGCCATGTCCTTGTTTTTTAAATATGTTCTAGATTCTCCAGTTGCAATTGGAGAATTGCCCAATTTTCCATTGTGGTTTTCCCTTCAGCCCCATTAAAGTTATTAATAGCTATTGGATTGTAGGGTTAGATGGGTGGAGAGAAACACACTCAACTGGTTGAACTATAGCTGTTCCTCTGTTCAGGAAGAAACTTGCTCTCCAGTGCCTCTTGGTTTGCTGAGGAAACTTGCTTTCCCATCTCCTTTCTCCATGCAATTCTCTCCCCATTACCTTGAATTAGCCGTGAAATAAATGGACCTTCTCCTTTACACTTCAGCTTCTTAAACAGAACTATTTACTGGTCTGTTCCCAGACTTGCTCTTAACTTAAGCTTTCCCTGGGTTAGTCTGGCCACTTGACACCAGATGCTTTTCTGGTCTTCTCTTCAAAAAGCTCACTCTCTTGTAGAGTGCATCTTCAACTATGAATACGAAGGTTCCAAATTCAAGTTTCACTTCAGGATTTGAGCACCAAGTCTAAGCTGATAATATAACTGTAGAACTGACAGAATGCTACTTTGTTTCCAAGTGCCATCTTTCAGATGAGATGATAAACAGCCCATCTGCCTGTTCAGGTGGATGTTTAAGGGAAAAAATCCCATGATAGTGTTTTGAGGTAGTATTAGTAGCATTTTCCCATATATCCTGGATCAACATCACAAAAGCAGATTATTTGATTATTATCATTCTGCTGTTCGTGGGAACTTACTGTGCACAAACTGCCTCATTTACAATGTTGCAACTGTAACTAAACTTTGAAAGTACTCTATTGGCTGTGAATTGCTTCACTGACCAGTGGACATGAAAGATACTATATAAATGGAAGTCTCTTAAAGATCCAATTTATCTGGAAGGTTCATTAAAATAAGTTAGAGGAAGTGAGAACAAAGTGGTTTTATAAAACTAGCAGAATTGCCAGGGAGCTGCGGAATTTGAAATGAATATTCAGCAGCAAAGCAGGCAATTCAGCTTTACTGCACACGCAGATGTTCATGTTCCAGACACTACCTCCCATCTTTTGACATCTCACCCTGTGCCATATCAGCTTATTCCTTCCTTTTTCATGTTTATCCAGTTTTCCTTTAAATGCAACTACGCTATTCATCTCATCCTTGTAGCGAGTTCCACATTCTCGTCACTGTCTCTGGGGAAGGTTTTTCCTGAAATAGAGAAAATGCTGGAGAAACTCAGCAAGTCTAACAGCATCTGTGGAAAGAGAAACAAGTTAATCCTTCCAGCCATGGAAGTGAATGCCAAAGGGATTAGAGATGATCAGGAATGTAGAGCTGAGGTTAAAATCAGATCAGCCACGACTCTATCGAATGGCACAGTAGGCTCAAAGGGCTGAGCAGCTAACTCTTGTTCCTTGTTTGTAGAGTTGTGAGACTTCCAAAGAAATCTCTGTCTGTCTTACAAAGGCAATTTTTATTTTAAAGAGTGAAGTCTAGTTCCACATTTTCCCATAAACACTTTGTCAAGACCCCTCGAGATCTTGTGTGCTTCAATCAAGTTTCCTTTTTCACTTCTAGTCTCCTGCAGATATAAGCCCAAGGCTATCCTTGTAAGACAACCCGCCCATTCAAGTATTAGTCAAGCAAGCCTCCACTGAACTGCTTCCAATGAATAAGGAGGCTGATTTTGTACAAGGTGCTCCAGGTGCATCTTACCAGTGCCCTGTATCATTGAAGCATTACCTCCCTAATATGTATTTTATTTTTTTCTCTTTGTAATAAATCATAACATTCTATTACCTTTCCTAATGGCTGGCAGTATCTGAACACTGACCTCTTGTGACTTGAACATTAGGTAATGCTGCAAACTCTCTCCATTTAGATAATATGCATTTTTATTTTTCCTCCCAAAATTGACAATTTCTCATTACACTATGTTGTTCTCCATTCTGAGTAGAAGATCTGACCTTTTCTTAAAAAAAAAACTTTCTTTCCACAGATGCCAGATCTGCTGACTATCTTTAACATTTTTACTTTTTTTTAAAAAGTTAGCAATAATTTTATTACTCTCATGTTGAGGTTCTGGATTTCAACACAGCCACAAAATTGATTTCCCAATATGAAATGTGTGTTAACCAGAGAGCCAGCTGGTTCTGTACAGCCTAAGAAGAGCATGAGGGACTTGTGTATGAACAGTGACTGGAGATTTAAAGTAAATGGGGAAGAGCCAGGGTTGTAGGAGCTAGGAATGGGAGTAGGCAATTCAGCCCTTTGAGCCTGCTCTGCCATTTAACATGACCATGGCTGATCTTATCCTAGTCTCAATTTCACTTTCCTGTCTGCTCCCCATAGCCCTTTATCCTGCTTTTCATCAGAAACACATCTATTTCTTCCTTGAATATGTTGATTGATTCTTCCTTCACTGCAGTCTGGGGCATTGAGTGCCACAGATTCACAACTCTTTGAGAGAAGTGAAGTTTAAGTCATGTAGAGTAATTACATCGGAAAAGGAAATGGTTTCGTTGACAGACAGTTCCTCTTTGCACGAACAACAGACTAATGTCAGGCTTTGGTACTGAGTGCTGATTTACTGCAGGCCTTTCAGAGAGTGTTGGGAAGAGTAAGGGGTCACCCTTTTAAGAAAGAAATGAAGGGAACTTTCTTCAAAGGGTAGCGAATCTATGGAATTCTTTTACCAGAGAGGACTGTTGATGCTGGGTCATTTTAATTATGTTGAGACTTGCATACTTTTTTTTCATTGGGAATGGAATAAAAGTTGCGCAAAAGGTAGGAAAGTGAAGTTGAGGATGATCAGTTCAACTGTTATTTCATTGAAAGGCAGAGTAAATGGGCCAAACAGCCTATTTCTGCTTCTACATCTTCCAGGGACTCTTAACCACCTCCTCATGCTGCTTGTGGTTCCCTGCGCTTTTTAATTGCTCACATGGTTCATAAAGGAATCTCTAGCCCACAATTAGCATTGGGGTTTTAAATCCAATCTCTCACCACTCCCAGGAGACATTACTGAGAATCAACTTTGGAAACGTAAGGGACCAGCTCAAGACCAGGTGCTGTTTTTCTGTCCAACCTTTTTATGGTATCTAAACATTTGCCTCTTTCCCATGTCTACACCCCTGACACACACGGTTCTCCCCGTCGCCCCACTACACACACACCCCCCCCCCCCACCCTCATTCACTCACTCACTCTTTCTGCTATGTCCCTCCTATCTCCCACTGTCTCCATTATCTACAATTTGTCATTGATGTCAATGGGACAACTCTTGTGGCAAATTTGATTAGCAAGGCAGCAGCACTTGAGCTACAGCTTGCAGCTGAAGATGACTTTTCTTGGCCTGTGGAGGAGTCCAATGCAGTGTGGGAGGGGGAAAAGAGATTTGATCTGCATTCAACTGTGTCCTCTATAACCCTTCTCTCTGCCCCCTCCCACCATCCTTCCATACACACACAGAAGAGAAAGAGACATTGAGTAATCTTATTAAGAATCATAAGTGCTCAAATTCTTTTCAAAATGAATTAGGGAAAGTTGCAGAGTGAGTTCACGTTCTTCATTTAAGGAGAAATCCAGTGAGACACCAGTTGGGAATCAGTCGTCATATTTTCTTCTAGCAACACGCTTGCGTTTCGTGAATGACTTCAGGACAGTAGCAGTAGAACGATCTTGTTTGGTGATTGTGCTGTAGTCTAGTGATTTTAACTGGGGGACAGTTCCCACTACATAACTCCTTTGAAGAGGGAATGGGAAAAAGAGAGAAAGAGGTGGAGTGTTAATCTCCTGGAGGTGGGGTCTCATTGATATTTACAGATGAGGAGACCATTCAGCCCATAGTACTTGTGCAGTTCTTTGAAAGAGCTATCCCGTCAGTCACACTCCCTTTTCATCATCAGTTGCATTTATAGAGCACCCTCATTATCAGAGCTCAATTCAGGGTGGAAAATAGATGCTGAGCTAGCCAGCGATGCCTGGATCTCAGAATTGCTACAGTCCATTTTCTCTTAGGCTAGCACCTAATGCCATTGGGAAGGGAGTTCCAGGATTTTGAACCAGTAGCACTGATGGAATAGTGATATATTTCCAAGTAAGAATGGCGAGTGGCTCAGAGAGGAACCTGTAAGTGGAGGTATTCCAAGAACTGGACACAATACACCACCTGAGGCTGAACTAGTAGTTTATACATTCAGCCTAACATCCTCATTTTTGTACTCTATTCCTCTATCAATAAAGTTCAGGATCCCATTAACAAAAAGTTGAAGAGGAGGGACGAGAAAATGGAAATAAGTATAACGGATGAGGGGAAACAATCTCTCTCTCTATTTTTCCAGGCTCCTTGTGGTTTTGAAAACTTTAACCAAATCTCCTCTTAGACACATCCTGTCCAAGGGAGAACAGTCCTAACATTACATTGTTATAATCTGGAACATGCTTTCTGAAAGGACAGATTTAATACTATTTTTTAAAAAGGAATTGGCTAAATATCTGAAGAGAGATTAATTGCAGGGTGGTGAGGCATATGTGGGAAGAATGGATCTAACTAGATAGATCATTTAAAGAGACTGCATAAGCATAATGGGCTGAATGGCCTCCTAGAATCACTACAGTATGGAAGCTGGCCATGTGGCTCATTGAGTCTACACTGACCCTCAGAAGAGCATACCACCCAGACCCAGCAGCTACCTTACCCCTGTAACCCTGCATTTTCCCATGACTAATCCACCTAAGCCCGCAAATCCCTGGACACTATGTGCAATTTAGCCTGGCCGATCAGCCTAACCTGTAGGTCTTTGGACTGTGGCAGGAAACCAAAGCACCTGGAAGAAACTCAAACAGACATGGGGAGAATTTGCAAACTCTACACAAACAGACAGTCACCTAAGGGTGGAATCAAACCCAGGTGGTGTGAGGCAACAATGCTAACCACTAAGCTACTGCATGATGTGTGATTCTAGCATTCTAAGAAAAGTTTTTATAAAGTCTGTTGATGACTAATTGTGAGTCTGAGGAAGCACAGAATTCATTGTGGAAGAGGGCAGGTTAATGATTTATGATGGTTCTGTGTGTGTTCATGGTCTGGCTAATTATACGGAGCTGTAGGCTGGTCTCTCTTGGCACCATTTGCAGAAGAATAGTGGAGTTCTCCTAATACTTCTTCACGCTGGCTCAAACAGATTACCTCATTATATATTGTGGTACCTATTGCGGCCCAAATTGACTGCTGTGCTTCTTTCATTTCAACAGTGGCAACATCTTTTAAAAATATTGTTTCATTGGCTCTAAAGTGTTCGGGGACATCCTCAGGAAGTGAAAGGTTCTAAATAAATGTAAGTTCTTTATTTTTGGATGAAAGCATGCAGTCCCCTGATGCAAGAACAATTTTTGCACTGCCTGAACCAAATCTGGTGTGTAGTAGTGGAGTGTTTATTGCACCAGACTAGCAGCCAGAGTGAGAGTTTAAATGCTATTGGGACAAAATGCAAAAATCTCAGTAAATGTGATGTTTGGTCACCGGATAAGGTGACGGAAAGTTGTCAGACTTTAATTAAAACTCCTGTCCCACAGGAAGGGAGCTTGAGGGCCTTAGTCTCAGCCTGAGAGTGTTCCTGCCTCCACACCAACAGCCTTCAGGACAATCTGCTCCTGCTCCCAATTGGATGTGGGTACTTATACAATCGTAAGACATATGAGCAGAAATAGGCCATTCTTTCCAGCAAGACATGCAATGAGATCATAGCTAATCTGATAAATCTTCAGCTCCACTTTTCTGTCTTTTCCCCTGTAGCCCTTGATTCCCTTTATTAAAAATCTAGTATATCCAAGGCTGAGGTAGACAATGTCCCAGCCTCTGCGGGGAAAGAAATTCCACTGGTTCGTTTCCCCATGTGAGAAGAACTTCCTCTTCTCTGTCCAAGAAGGATAAGGGTTTGACTATATCATGCACTCCTTGGTCAAATAGGTTATTGATGGTCGACCCTCCCACGATGTTTTGTCGCTTTGGTCAGACAGGTAAGGCACTAGGAGAGTTACTCACTGAGTAGACACAGCCTGTTGGAAGGGGATATATTTGGTCTTAGATCACCCTATGATTCAATGAGATAGAGGAGGCACGGATTCCCAGCTGGGTACCTGTATCCTTTGACCAGTTCCAGAGGGTTGCCATGTAGTGTCAGGCTCCGTAGGTGAGGCAATGAGGCCAACTTATCCACCTCATACAGTTCACTGATCTGGTTACCGTGTAGATTGAGAATTTGTAGTTTGGTGCACTGGATGAGGACCTATTGAGAGATGAAATGGGTGACAGATGACTACTGGTAAAATTCCCAAACCAAAGTGATGTTGGCATCATTTTATATTCAAACATTACTTATTCATTCGTTCCTACATTTATTAGTGATAACGCCACGTTACAGGACAAAGACAGTCAGTATTTATACCAGAGGTCTGGAAATATAATGATACTTATGGCTATCTGCTGCCTGAAGCATGGATTAAGACTGCCAAATATACTTCAAGTAGGACAAATGTCATCCCCCTACACACACCACCACCAATCCCTGTCACTGGCCACCCAGAAGGCTCTGGTCTGGACCTTAGCTCAAGCAAATGTTAAACCCAAACAATCTCTCAACATCCAAAGATCCTCTGCAACTGCTGGATAGATTCACAGTGCACTCTGAATACAATAATCTCGCAAATCAGTGGCACCAAGCAGGGATTGAAAGGTTATGTTCAAACACGGCAAATCACTTCACGATAGTTAGGAGGTTATTTTTGCTACAGGGAAGGAAGAGATTTTTTTTAAAAAAGGACAGTGAACTGTGATCTCGAACACTGCCTGAAAAGTGTGGTGGAAGCAGATTTGGTAGCAGCTTGCAAAAGGGATAAAAAAAATCTTGAAAGTTCTGCAGGGGTTTTGGAAGAGACAGAGAACAGGAATGTCGGAATAATTGGAGAGCTGTTGTAAAAAGCTGGCATGGCCAGGCTGGGCTGAATGGTCTCCAATGCTGTATGATTCCACAACATGGGAGCTTTGCATCATTTGAGGTGCTGTTTATTCTTACATGCAGTGTTCAGATTAAATGACCAAGCTAATCTCAAAATAGCAAAAAATCAAACTGGATTTCTAAAGCAGGGTTTGATGATGCAAATTAGCAGAGGCGATGTTAGTCCAGTAAAGACCATTTAGACACAATATTCAATACAGTGCACCAGTCAGGTCATCCAGTTTATATTAAACAAAAAATTGCAAATGCTCAAAATCAAACATAAATAGGGATTTCTGGAGAACATCAACAGGTCTGGCAGCACCTATGGAAAGAAAACAGAGTCAATGTTTTGAATCCAGTGACCCTTCTTCAGAACTTGAGACCCCCTATTTCATTGATGTAGTGTTTTTCATGTCTCAAGGTGCTTCACAAGTATGACAAAGCCACCAACGGTGATGCAGTTAAAATCAGGGATGCAAAAGAAGGTAGAAGTGGAGCAACACAGAGGTATGAGAAAGTTGTTGGGGTGTAAGAGGTTACATCTAAGGCTTATATTCCCAAAAACCCTTCAGTGTAATAAAACAACCCAACCACCTTATAAATTAAACTGGACACTGAAACACATTTGCTACAGAGGATCGGGTGACTAAAAGCTGAGTTGGTTTTAAGAAGTTGGGAAGGAAGAAGATGATTGAGGGAGGGGTTTTCAGAGCTTGGTGCTCGGTCAGCTGAAGACGTGGTCACAAATGATGGAGCTATTGAGGTTTGGGATGCACAAGATTGTAGGGGCTGGAAGATGTTGAGAGGCATGGGAATACCACCACCTGCAAATTCCCCTCCAAACCCAGTCACCACCCTGAATTGGAAGTATGTTGCCATTCCTTCATGGTGACTAGGTTGAAATCCTGGCACTACCTCTCCAACAGCATTGTGTACACCAAACAGACAGCAGTGGTTCAAGAAGGCAGCTCACCACCACCTTCTCAAGGCAACTATGGATGAGCAATAAACTCAGGCTCAGCAGCAATGCCCATAAGAACAAATTTTAATAAAAGGTTACAGAGATAGGGATGAGTGAGACCATGGAGGTTTTGAAAGCATGGATGGGAATTTTAAAATTTGATATACTACTGGACCAAGAGAGCTAGTACAGCACAGTTAACACAAGGGGTAATAAGTAAACAGAACTTAGGACAATAGGACAAAAACAGCAGACTTTTGGATGACCTCAGATTTGCGTATATGGTGTATGAATGCCAGGTGGAATTGGATGACAAGTCTGGAGGTGGCAAAAGATTAGAAGTTTCAGTAGCAGAGAATGAAGTAGTGATGAAGTTGGGGGATGGTATGCAGGTGACAGTAAGTGGTTTTAGTGATGGTGAAAATAAGACACTAGGAGTAGGCCATTTGCTAACAGTCTGGAAGCAGGAAGGGAAGGCATTTTCTGGCTATGATGGGATAGAGAAGAAAGAATCTGTGTCTGTATGAAGCTTGTCTAAATGGCTATTGGAGGCGGCCAGTGGAGAAAAGCTGGTTTGATTTCAATTCAACTAAAGAAACCCTTGCAGCTACCTACAGGGTCAATACTGGGAAAGCTGTTGAAGGAGAGGTCAATCCAAAACAAACGTTCTGGTTCCACAAGCAAGGCATCAACCACCTGCTGCAGTCCACTCAGGTCACATAGACGGTTGTGGCTCAGACGCAAGGAGCAGCTCTTCAGCTTCTTATTCTCTGTGTATTCGTTCGGTCTGAAGCCAGTCCGCGGGGTCAGTTTGACGCAGTCTGCATAATGGACAGAAAGAGTTAGAAAGGAATCTAAACTGCCCTGGAAGTTCAATGCACAACAAAACACACTGGAGTCACTGAGCTAATTACCAATTCCCAACTTGTTTTGTAGCACAGATTGAAGTAATAAAGATCAACAAATCCGCATTGGCCCTTTGCTATATTGTTCCCAAACTAACCCTGCTGCCCCACTCTTTCCTTGGGTCTCCATATCATTCCTGAACTACAATAATTGTATTTATATAGCACCTTTGAAGTAATAAAGTGTCCCAAGGTGTTTCACTGAGACATTATGAAACAAAATATGACAGTGCGCCACATGAGGATGTATCAGGACAGGTGACCAAATGCTTAATTAAAGAGGACTTAATCAACATCTTAAAGAGCAACACAAAGAGAGAGGTGGAAAGGTTTAGGGAGGGGAGTCAACTCTTGATTCCCTCAGTAACCTGGGATTTGTGCCATCCAAATGTGGTGATGTGTCCAGTTTAAATCGTCCTATCCTCTTGTCTTTTTGTTCCATTCAGAATCCTAGCAACTTTGTTTACTGTAGCTTTAGAGATACTATCATGTCTTCTGCACCTTCTGCATCCCCAACAACAGATCTCTATTTGCCTTTCTAATCCATCCACCATTCCTCTTCACAGTTAATATTCTTACTGAAAACTGCAAATATTGCAGCTGCTGGAAATATGAAAAAAAACTGGAAGTTTTTTTTATTCATTAATGGGAATGAGGGTATTGCTGGTCAGGCAGAACTTATTGCCCAGAGGACAGGTCAGAGTCACCCACATTGCTGTGGGTCTGGAGTCACATGTAGGCCAGACCAGGTAAGGATGGCAGTTTCCCTCCCTAAAGGATATTAGTGAACCAGATGGGTTTTTACAACAATCGACAATGGATTCATGGTCATCATTAGACTCTTAATTCCAGATATATTTTATTGGATTCAAACTCCACCATCTGCTGTGGCGGGATTCAAACCCGGGTCTCCAGAACATTATCTGGGTCTCTGGATTAACAGTCTAGTGTTAATACCAATAGGCCATTGCCTCTCCTTGTTGCAAATACTCAGCAGGTTAAGCAGTATCTATGGAGAAGGACAGGCAGAGTTAACAAGTAGGAGTTTCCTTCCTGGATGGGGAGCAAAGTCTGCTGGATCCAAACCCATCTTTGGGTGGATAGAAACAGTCAGTCATCGGCCATAATTTCATAGGGGATCCCCCTTCATTGGCCCAGAGATGCCAAGGGTCTAACCAAAGTAATGCGACTCTTATACATCTCATGTTATTCCACCAACTTAGTTCATCTCCAGCGCCATTTTATTTTTATCTTTTGTAATTTTCTCTCTGACTTAACCGGATTACAGGTCATCCTTTCACTTGCTTCTCAGCATTGCACTTCACTCACACTGTCTGACACTTTTGATCACCTGCAGAGACTTGTTATTCAGCCTGTTGATGCTCCGTAACACCATTTGTACAATTGTTTGATCTCTCTGCCTATAAATTCTGTGCTTGTGTGCTTTTCTTCACTTCACCTGACAAAGGACCAGTACTCCAAAAGCTTGTGATTTCAAATAAACCTGTTGGACTATAACTTGGTGTCATGTGACTTGACCTTTAAAGGACAAGATCATGATACTATTACTCTATCATATCATGTCACTCAAGGACATAAAATCTCAGTTTCCATCTTCATTGGGGCCTCTTGAAGCATGACACAATGATAGAAGCACATTACCATTTGTTCAAACAGCTTACTTAGTATTATCCCAGACAGTGATGTGCCATTAAAAAAAAAATTAATTCTTTTCTTAGTATGTTGCTCATGTCTAGTTCTTATGGGGGCTAACAGAAATATTGTCACATCAGGGACAAACACCCTATTGAAGGTGAAAACCTACATCACAATGGCAGATCAGAATGTGTAGGCCTGATCTAAACCCACCTTGGCGTTGATTACTACATCTGCCATTCATTGTTTTTCCTTCAGGTTGGAAAAATGCCTCAGTCGTTGCAGTGGCCTGGAATTCAAGCCAGAATAATCCCTCGATTCGCAGACGCAAATTGGGAAGTACTTTAAGCATGAGGAAGAGTTGAGAGGTCCTCTTCCCAGAGGGTGGCAGCAGGAAGTCACCCACCGAAGCCAAGCAGGCACGGATGGAGATAACAGACACAGGCAGCAGATGGAGTGTTTTTTGCAGAAAGTGGAAGGGGTTCAACAACCTGTTTCACTTCAACAATGAGATTGCAATAACAATTTATTGATCTTTGTAGGATAATAGGTCGGTACAACATCGTGGGCCAAAGGGCCTGTACTGTGCTGCACTGTTCTATGTACTATACAATACCTGGGTGATGAGCAAACCCAGTGAGCAGGAGGAGGTGCCAAAAATGAGGTCAGCCAAGAGCAGTCCCCCTCAGAGGATGGAAGACAGATACAGCACCACCGAGCTGGGCTCACTGAGCTTCCTTTCTAGACCAGCAGCAGTAAAATGTGCTCTCACATCTTGGAGGCTCAAGGCAACGCGAAGTAATGGGTGCAGAATGGACACCACCATGCAGTGCACGTGTCACCATGGCTCAAGGCTTAATGTGCCTCAGCTTCTCCAACGAGAGTGGCCAACCCCAACCTGGAGAGTCACAGTATTCAGAGTTGTTCCCTTTACAGTCGTGACCTGTCGGTGACATTAACAGGAGCATCTGTGCAGTGATGGAGGCTGCCTCTGTAATGATGCCAGTGCAGCAGCCTCCAGAGATGCCCTATGGACATCTCCACAATCAGGACAATTGCCCCATGCATCTCAGCCACAAAATAAGACATTGAACAGCCCGCCTCACGTCATCTGAGGAGACAATGAGAGTCCTGATTTGGTCCTGGGTCAGATGTAAAGTCAATGTAACAGGGGTGGTATATTTTTTAATCACCCTTTTCAGGCATGTTATGACACACATCAGGAGTGAATGGGACTTGAACCCAGGCTTCCTGGCCCAGAGGTAGGGACACTACCAGTGTGCTATAAGAGTTGTAAAGGATTAAGGCTCCTCCAAGCTGGAATTGAATCATTAACCTAAGAACTTGGGTCTTGTGATCATAGAAAATAGTACAAATCAATCGTTTTGAATCATTTTGTCATTTCAAGAACCTGAATGCAACCTGTTCTCATTACTTAACCTCCACAGCCCTGTTATATATTGGCAGATTTAATGACTGACCTCCTGATATCCCTAAAGCCTGTCCTCCATCACAAGACAACAGTCTGGAGTGTGACGGAATACTCTCCACTTGTCTGGAGGAGTGTAGCTCCGACAGCACTCAAGAAGCTTGACACCATCCAGCCCACTTCTCAATCTCAATTTGAAACACATCTTATCAGATGATGAAATTTGAATTCAATAAAAAATCTAGAATAAAAAGTAAGCTTAATGGAACTATGACTTCTGTCAATTGTCATAAAAACCCATGTAGAGTCATCTAGACTCGAAATGGTAGCTTGCTTTCTCTCCATGAACGCTGCCTGACCCACTGTGATTTCTGGCATTTTTTGTTTTTAGTTCACTAATGTCCTTTAGGAAAATCTGCCATCCCTACCTGGTCTGGCCTACATAGGACTTAAAACCTACAGCATTGTGGTTGACTCTTAACTACCCACTGGACAATCAGAAGTGGACAATACATGCTTGCCTTGCTGGTGACATCTTTATCCCCTGAACAAATTAAAAATAGCTAATTGTGTAAGGTTCCATGCGAGACGACAGTGAAACCTCTGGGCAGTTGTGTGTCCGTCACAGGTTGTAAGAGCCTGCATGCCCCAGGCAATGGCTTCAAGGGTTAGAGAGAGTTCCAGACTTTGTTATTTTTCCTGGGTCAGAGGGACTGAGTTGAAACAAGCCTGAATCAGACAATCCCTGACATTAATGGCATCCTGAACCTCAAGCCCCATGTTGGACATAGTGAACCTCAGCATTCTGCAAACTCTCTCTACACCTCCTCTGTCGTGTCCTGCTTCTCTCTGCCTCCAATGAGCCATCATATTGGACTCAAAATCTTAACTTTATTTCTGTCTTTCACAGGTGCAACCAGGACTGCTGAGATTCTTCACAACTATCTGTGTTTGTTTCAGATTTCCAGCATCTTCAATATTTTACTTTTATTATCCCAGTTAATATCTGGGTAGTTAAAATCCCCAATTTGTGCCTCATTATTTTACATTTTTCTGAAATTTGAGTACATTTCTTGAGTACAATTGATCCTTTCTTTTACTCTGCCTGACAGTTTGGGGGCTCAAAGTATACTCCCAACATTGTGTTTTGTCCTTTTATGTTTTTTACTTCTACCCATATTGCCCCATTTGATTATCCTTCCAAGATAATATCCTTCCCATTGCTGTAATCCTTGATTAATACTGTGACCCCTGCCCTTTCTATTCTCCTTCCTATCTTGTCTGAATACATTTTTAACCAGGAATGTTGAGCTGCCAATCCAACTCATCTTTCAGCCAATTCTCAGTCAATAATAACATCATACTTCCACATGCCTATTTGTGCCCTCAGGTCACATCGTATTCCTCAGCCTCCTTGCACTAAAATATATTCCATTTAGCCTTAACAGATTCACTTCCTTTTTATCTAGTTTACTAATTTCCTCTGCCTTCTAGACTCACTTACACATGTTGATTCTAAATTTTTTTTAATTCACATGGGCTTTGTTGGTTAGGTCAGCTTTCATTACTCGGCCCCAAATGCCCTTGAAGCAACTGGCTTATTCAGACATTTCGGAGGGTAGTTAAGAGGCAAACACATTGTTGTGGGTATGGAGCCAGAACGGGTAAGGATACAGATTTCCTTCCCTAAATAACATTACTGAACCAGATGGGCTTTTACAACAATTGACACTTGTTAAATAGCCACCATTAGGCCAGCTTTTCATTCTAGATTTTTGCTCTGGTGGGATTTGAACCCGATTTGTATCCCAGAACATTAGCCTGGGGTTCTGGATTTCTCATCTTGCGACACCACCACTACACCACCACCGAATTTTGACCTCTCAATGATATTTCTGTTTTCACATCATTATTTTCCTAGACTATAGACCCTCCTGCTCTTTTTCCTTTCCCGTCTTTCCTGTACAATTGCCACAACTGGATTATTAAGCATTAATACACCCCCCCACCCACTGCTTAGGGGGCGGGGGCAAGGTCTTGGTCACCTGCACTCAGGATAGACGTGCCCACAATTCATGGTCTTTGCCGAGCAGACTATGCGTTTGTATTACTATATTATAAATCTTACTGAGCAATCTTTGTGCTATGATCCCACTAATCCTATATTATTCAAATGAGCAAAATTAAGGGGTTATTGAAAATGTGAAACTTCTGTGAATATTTATAGATTATCACACGTCACCAGATAAGGTTTCCAGATTTCTGAAGGAATAATCCACAATTGGACCGTACAAGATGGAATCAAACTCTTTTGTTTTAATGGACCTGTGGAAATAAAAGTTACAGTACAAATTAAGGGGCAGGAAGACAAGCAATTTTACTTAAGTGAATAGGACGGATAGATTCAACCCCTACAACTCACTAAATCATGTGGTATTAACTTCACATTCTTAATTGATGGGACTAATTATATTGCTCTTGCAGACAGCCAGTATGGGCTCAATTGGCTGGAGGGCCTTTTCTGTGTGGTGACCATTTTACAATTCTTGGTACACAGCATGTCCACCCACCCATCGGCTGTACTGTACAATAGTCATTGATGAAGAAAGACATTTTGTCAAAGTTTTTCATCTCGCATTCATGGACAGTGGATGCTGATTGGTAGAGGCATTGTTACACCTCTGTAGGGTAGAATGTTCGAAATGAAGCCCACTATTCCCAGAGATGTCACAAAGTCTTCATGCATATGCAAATTCCCCAGCTTTTAGACTTAGGTTGATGGATACCATGGACTTCTGTACTTAACAAGAATCACTATTTACTACAAATAAATAGACACTAGCTACAGATAAATAATTATGAACAGTCAGCACGACTCTACTAGTTAAAACTTTAACTCCCTTATAAACTCTACATACACATACTGAGAGAAACAAAGAAAAAACATGGTTGTTGTAGGTGGAGGGAAAGAGTGGGCAGGCAGTTCAGTGGTCCCTATCCACAGGGTTTGCTGAGATGATCCTTTTGCTGATCAGAACATTGATTTGTGATCTTTCTTCAAGTAGTTTCATTTGCTTGCAGGAGTTACAGGTAGCTGATATACATGTGCATACAGGCTAAGAGCCACAGCTTACTGCAACTGCTGAGGGAAAAATAATCTGGCTTCCTTCAATCTTAAGGTACATTGTATTGCTGAGAAAAGAGACACCCCCTGCCCTTGTGGAGATCTAATAGCTTCTCCCAAATATTCACACCCTCAAGCTGTTCAGTTACCTGGTAGCCAATCACATAGCTGTTGGCAGACAGATGCCTTTGATAATAGGTCACTAATCCACAAACCAAATAGCTACTTGTTGCCAGCCAAAGCTCTATGTATATACAACACTTGGCTTTCAAACTATTCACCCACTGTTTTAACATATGGCAATGTAAACAGCACTTACAATGACTGTCAGGATACTTGCTTTTAAAAAGTGCAGCAATCCTTCAATAATCCTTGGAGACAGTAAGGACTGCAGATGCTGGAAGCTAAAGTCAATAAATATGGAGTTCAAAAAGCACAGCAGGTCAGACAGCATCCAAGAAACAGGGAAGTCAATGTTTTCGTACGAAACATTAACTTCTCTGCTCCTTGGATGCTGGCTGACCTGTTGTGCTCTTCCAGCTTCAATAATCCTTGGTTTTCGAAAGTTATTTTCCCATTTAAGTCCTTAATCCTTTGCAGCATTGCCTTAGAGAATGCACCAGTTAGTAATGACTAACAGTTAACTTCCAAGCTTTGTTTAAACGTTTCCACCAGGTATCTCATTGTTTCATTTCTTGGGGCAATGCCTTGATCAGAGTCCACTTGCCAACTAATCAGCATTCTCCTCTCACACATCATAAAATATTGCTCCCTCTTACATTAATATTTCTTGTGAATTGTCCTGATGAAGGCAAAACAAAAATATTTGACAAAGTGTGCATTTTTGATCAATACTCAAGTTCAATGCTATCAAATGATAACTTGAGAGCTAACTGTTGAACCGGGGAGGCTAATTGGTCCTGAAAAACTGAACCTTATTGAAAATGAAATCTGAATACAGCATTTTAAAATAATAGGCTTGATTGGAATAGAATTGGTTTCTGTTGTTGACCAGTTTGTCAACTTTGACCAAAAACAACATATTTTAACAAGTTTTTGGTCATCTGACCTAATTTCCTCTTCTGTGGTTCAGTGTCATAAACAAAGACACAAGCTACATTGCACATTATTAAAGGAGTGTCCCCTCTACAAACTAATCATTTTGAACTTGAATATTCACAAAAGTGATCCTTGGGAAGGCTGTATCATATGGGGAGAGGGTAGGTTAACTCGATTTATATTCACTGGATTTTAGAAGAATGAGGGGTTCTTATTGAAATGTGTAAAATTCTGACAGGACTCTGGTCAAAGGGTCTGGAACAAGATTCACGGTCTCAGTATATGGGGTAAGACATTTTGGGCTAAGACAAGCAGAAATATTTTGCTCAGAAGCTGTTGAACCTGTGAAATGTTTTATCCCAGAAAGCAGAGGAAGCAGAGTCACTGAATATATCTGAGAAAGAAACAGATATAATTCGAGAGACTAAAGATGTCAAGAGGTATAGGAGAGATCAGGAATCTGGCATTGAGATAGAAAATCAATTACGATCATGCTGAAAGATGGACTGTGCTCGATATTCCAAATGACCTACTCTTGCTCATGCCTTCTATGTAGATCAGCAAATAAGGAGTCTATCGCTTGAGTCAGAAGATTTGTGTTAGCTAAGTAAATATGTGGTTTTATAATGATTCCGAAATCACCTTTGGAAAATTTGTAACTTGTGTCTTTAACAATTAAGATGTGCTTTTGTTGTTGTTACACAGTATTTAAAATAGAGAAACTGACCATTCAGCACTAGACACGCATGTTAGTTCCATACAGGTGCCAGTAACCTAATATCTGGCAGGAGGGGGGTGGCGTTACAGTACAGCAGCTGCCCATACTATGGGTATATAGGAATTAGGAGGGGTAGGTCATTTGGCTTGTTGAGCGTGCTCCATCATGTAACCCAATCATGGTCATTTCAACACCATTTTCTTGCATATTCCCCATATATCTTGATATCTTCAATAACCATAAATCTATCGATCTCCATGATATTGATATTAATTAGATTACCTTGTTGTTTAGGTTTGCTCCATTGAAGTTACAGGATTAATAATAAATTGTTAATTTTTGTTTAAGTTATAAACTTGGTGTCTGATATCTGTTATTCTTAAAGTCTTAGAGGAACAATTGGACAACTTTGAGGATCAGATGTTTTAATTTTACCATGTTTCAAATCCAGTGTTAGCTTGCTCTCCCTCTGTTGTAATACTACTTCTGTCATTGGTCCCAGTACGAACCATGATCTCTGATTGTTCACCCTCCCATTTCAGGATGCCCCGCGGCCACTTAATGACAGTCATGACCCTGGTCCTAGGGAGACAACATTTGTCCTGGAGTCACATCTGCTGTGCAGTGATAAAGTAGTGGTAGTCCAGAACTCCTGGCTAACATACTGGAGACATAAGTTTAGATCCTCCTGTGGGAGTGAGTGAAATTTGAATTCAGTTAATTTTTTTAAATATCTGTAATCAAAAGCTAGCGGTAACCACATAACCATTGCTGACTGTTATAAAACTACTTCACTAATGTCTTTTAGGAAAGGAAATCTGCATCCTTACTCAGTCTAGCCTACATATGACTCCAGACCTGCAGCAATGTGGTTGCCCTGTGAAACAGCCAAACAAGCCACTGAGTCATGTCACCCTACAAAATCTAAAGGGAGGAATGACACTGGGAGGAACATGTCATCAACCGAGGCACCAGAAACAACAATGGCAAACCCTGTGACAGCATTCTTACTAACATCTGGGTTCTTTTGCCAAAATTGGAAGAGCTGTTCCACAGACTAGTCAAGTGACTCTCTGATATTGTCTGTAAGGTCTAATGCCATGAATATGACTATGTCCCAGACACCAACATCAAAATTGCTGGTAATGTCCTGTTGAAACCAGCACAGATAATCAACACAGTGGTACATAGTCAAGAGGAAATGGCTGCGTGAGTCCTCAACACTGACTGTGGACAGCATGATGTCTCATACCACCAAGTCAATCATTGGCGAAACAAATTCCACCTGCTCCAGAGATGTGTTAGAACATCTCTTTGGAAGAAGAAACAAGATGAGGGAGTGTTTAATGAATTGCAGGACACTGGATAGCTTAGAAACAGGCATTTCTGAGGCCAAAGATGTGTCTCCAGGATGGCGTATTGCCTCCCTAGTGCCAAGCACATCACCAAATGGCTGCAGGACATCCTGAAAGGGGAGGGTGATGAATTAGAGATTGTGGTACATGTTGGTACCAATGATATGGGCAAAGTGAGGAATGAGGTCTTGCATCAAGAATTCAGGGAGTGCACAGGGAATTAAAAAGCAGGACCTTAATGGCTATAGTCTTTGGATTACACCCAGTGCCACATGCTAGTGAGTTTAGAAATAGGAAAATAGAACAGATACATTTGAGGCTCAAGAGTTGGTGCACGAGGGAGGATTTTAGATTTCTGGATCACTGGGACCGTTTTTGGGGAAGGTGGGGCATATACAAATAGGATGGTTTGGACCTAAACCTCATTGAGACCAACATTCTTGCAGGTAGGTTGATTAGTGCTGTGGGGAGGAATTTAAACTAGTCTAAAGGGGGAGGGGACACACAATTTCAATGAAACAGACACACATCATGCTACAGCAAAGGAGGGAAGTCACAATGAGTTCGGCTATGTTGAGTGATGAAAGAGTAAGGCAAGGCTGGATGGTCTTTAATGCTATAAGTGTAACAGGTAAGACTGATAGTTAATAATGTGGATTGATACATGGAAGTATGATATTGTTGCCACCACAGAAACATGGCTGAGGGAAGGATTGGATGGCAACTCAACATTCTGTGGTATAGGATCTTTAGGCGAGACAGAAGAGTGTGTAAAAACAGCAGTGGTGCAGGACTATTAATTAAAGGAGTCAATTACTGTAATGAGGAGAGATGATATCTTGGAAGGGGCCTCAAATAAGGCATTGTGGGCACAACTTATGAACATTAAGGGCAGCTACTTTACTGGGAGTGTATTTAAGGCCCTCAAAGAGTCAGCAGAAAATAGAGGGGGCAACCTGTGTGTGAAGTTGCAGGATATGGGAAGGGTGTTGAATGAATACTTCTCTTCAGTCTTCACTCTGGAAAATGAGAACGTAGGTACAAAATTCAGTAAAAGGGACTGTGAGGA